TTTGGAAATGATCATGCATACAATGGACTCCGGACTAGGTGCGTTCCTCTAAGTCTTCATACCAATATGACCTCTATAAGTAATTTCGTCTATTGTAACGGTAAATACATGTTTTTCCAATCTACAATCCAACTATGGATGCAAGTTAGGAGAGGCTGTGTTGCAGAATGGTAATGTTTCGCCATGATAGTCTCATAATCGGACCAAGCAGATTTTCATCATGGAAGCGTACAGCTTTTAGGAAGCAATCAAAGTGAACCTGAATGGCGTCATGAGAAAGACTCCAACATTGAACGACTAATCTTTTATTTATTCAGATTATCCCAATTATGGGAGTTAGAATGTCCTGCTTCCACTTTATTAATCAGTCGGATCCCTGGCGGCTGTGATGGAATGCAAAGAGAACGACAGCTCACATTTGTCGACAAGCATACAATTTTCCTAGTTTCATTCTCCCTCTTCCTCGTACTGCTAGCCCCAACTTAAGCCTGCGTGATGAGACTTTAATTGCTCTTGCATGTCACTGATATCAAGGACCAACAATCCGGTACAGCCTATGAATGCCGACAGACACGGCTCATACTATGCGAACTATGTGGATTTCCAGTTTCAGCCGAATGCTTCTTCGGATCATGCCCGATAAATTTAACGGTATTTTTGTTTAGCTGAAGTGTCATTCTTTTACTTACCTGAGTAAGGCCCTGCTGCACATCCTCCATGGCTTGTCCAAAGTTTTCAAGAATGACTGCAATGTACATGTTCACTATGACGAGAAAAGAGATGACCAGGTAGGAGATCAAATATACCACGGCCACCGCATAATTCCCACAATTGTGCTTCTCTGGTTGGCAGGCCGGTGGTCCATCCTGTATCAATCCATCCATCACGCTGTTCCAACCTGACGGGGAAAATGAAACCACACATCACTAACTTGGCGCTTTTGTCATACTCATTAGTAATACTATATTAGATTTCATTGTAGCTAGGCGACATTTTTCGCGAATAGGCGTCTTACACAATAGGCCAAATTCCATGCAATCATGGGGCATTGCTGGAAAAGTTCCATTATAACTCAGTAAATCACCTTAAGCGACATAGAAGGACTAAAGTCTCATTCAGGAAATAATTATAGTTTCCCAACATGCTACCAATGTGATGGCAAATACATGCTTGCCTCATAAGGGAAAATGAAGAGTCTCTTAATCGGTAAAGCGAATGGATGATCTAGAAAATATGAAGACCTTAAGGATAGGACGATAGAGCAAGGGATAACAATATGTGCTTCGTAGATGTTGATATGAGATTTTGCAATCAAAATCGTGTATAATAGAAGACTTTTGCTCCAGCAATTCTCTTCGTGGTATCCAGAAATGGATTGCACACAATAAATATTCACAAGGAATAGACTACAATGCTCTTTCTCTTTTAAAGTGATATGCATAGAGCTGATGCATACATTGCATTCCACATAGCCTTGCTTTCCCAAAAGGTGTTCTCTTCCAGGTTTGGCTGCAGTTTAGATCTTGCATAGGTCTTATCAACACCCCCAGCGGGAGTCGAACCATGACAATACAAAGTGCAATCTCGACCCATTGCCACTAGTGCCTTTGGGCCACAGAAGCATGAGCTCTACTCACATCATTGTGATAAAATTCAACTACCAGTTTTCCATCACATTACATGAAATAGGGTGAATAAATCACATGTGAGTGATTTACTGGTAGTCTCGAGACCTTACTTAAAAAAGAAGGGTTTTGAATACAATCTGTCAAGAGTATCGAAAAATATTTTTGTTGATCTAAGTTACTTAATTGTTGAGCTTACTTCCATTTCGTAGAGATTCGAAGGTCGGCTCATCAACAAATTACTCTGAGCCATCATTGCGGGTTTCGTGCGTAAACGAACACAAACAGACACATACACATACAGAGACAGACACACTCACGGGCATCGAAGTTAACATACGACCTTAACTAACAAAATCACTTCATACTTGATGAAAAAGGCCAGATTTATAGTATGTGTACCACTTTTTAGGGATTTTCCGGTGAGTTTTCTTGACTCTTTAGCCTGAATTTTGTTGTGATGATGATACCTTGCTCTGAGGATGTTCGTCAAATGACGGACTCCTTTTCACCGGAATCGAAGAAGATTACTTCG